TTTGTCATGTTTTATTTCAATTTTTCTTTAAATATAAAGTTACTCTTCGAGTTTTAGAATAATCGTATTAAGAATGATCGTTTTAACAGGGTTCCAATGTATTTCAAAAGTTATAAAATAACGATAAAAAAATAATTTCGATTAAAAACTTTTTTTGAGTATTTCTTTTTTGCTAAATGAGTATGTATTTGTGAAATTCTATATTCTCTTTGTTCTATTTGTTAATTTTTTTCTAAACTAAATTTTACTCTTCGAATTTCACAAAAATCGTCTTGACAGGGTTCTATGTATGTATTTCATAGGAGAAAAAAGTTTAAAAAAAACGATAAAAGTTATTTTTTTTCGAAACAATTTTTGTTCTGAGTGAAACTTACTAATAACTGATCATGTTTTAGCTGAAGTTTATGTTCTCATCGTTGCATTTTTCAACTTTTCTTCATTCAAATATAAATTTACTATTCGAATTTCAGATTAATCGTATCAAGGTATAATCGTCTTAACCAGGTTATACTAAATTTTATTCGTGAAAAAATAATAAAAAGATTTTCTTTTAAAAAACTATTTTCTTCTGAGTGGACGTTTTATCAAAATGAGGAAGTTTTTGTCATGTTTTATTTCTTAATTTTTTCTGTATTAGGCATTACCGTCTTAATAGAGTTTAACTATATTTAATAAAATTGAAATAAAATAATCTAAAAAAATGTTTCAAAAATAGAAATTAGTGTGAAATCAACCATAAAAAATGAGCCATAATTTTGTTTGTTGTTATAATTCATAATTTGAATAAGCAATTTTTTTCATGAACTTTCTATCAAAACGGAAATTTTTCAATAATTTTTTTACTGTTATTTACACTTTGTAGATCATTTACTACGGTTTACATTTTCGGATGTATTTCTTTACCATTTTCATTATTTGTATATTCAGAAGATTAAAAAAGATGAAAGATTGAAAAAAATAAGCAAAATGCTCTTTCTCATTAAGGCTAACATAATATTCGAGAATAATATTAAATAATATTTCTCATACCTGTAATTTGAGCTTTCCGTGGCTACGTGGTAAGTGCTTGGCCTTGCAACGTTGCAACTACAGGTTCTAAGTTCCGATACCCTCTTAGATCAACTTGATACCAAGCAGTATTGATAACAGTTTTCACTTGAAATTGTAATTCTTAAATATGATTACAAATGAAACCTTTCAGGAAATTTCTGCAAAATATCACATCACTATTAGGAAAAAATCTAATAATAATTTCAATAGAAAAATAATGATCAACCATTAGGTTTCTTTCTAATAATCCTAGGCTAGGGCATTACATGATAATAGTTCAGATAGCTGCTCAAATTTGAAACATATCTATAAATTTCAACTTTTCAAAAAGACGTTTTGAAATGCCTATGATCTGAATAGTTTTTCGGAATATTTGGTTTATTAAACATTTAGATTAGAGTATTTGAAAATAGAAACGTGATATGCATCTATACAATACATATGTTAACATAACAAACACATCAGCTCTTCTACAAACGTTGGGTTAGTAGTAAGTCATACAAATTCTCAAAAAAGTTAACTAGGTTACCTTAGCAAACATCAAGAAGTTATTTGTTTGTAATGATAAAACGTTGTTGTATTATTTACTATGCATTATGTAAATAATAAGATCGTGAATTGCGTTAAGTCGGTCAATTATATTTTTTTAATATTAATGTAATTGTTTACTCAGTTCTTAATCGGATAAGGCAAATGCAACAGCTTTTCCAATTCTACCAGTAAGGGTATATTAACTAAATAGGTAAAACCTTACCACACTAATTCATATAAATCTAATATCATATCAAACATATCGATATAATATCATCTACCCCCTATGAGTATATCGGAAAAATATTTAAATAATGTCATGAAGTTTCTAATCGAAATATCATCCCAGCTTGCATATTTTAGTGTCGTTTTAAATTATTTCCACTAGTGATGCTACAACACGCAGTCACTATTGAAAATTTTCCTCCCAAGATTTCCATTATAGTTAGAGAGAGTCAAAAATCGAGGTCGCGGTAATTTCAGATGTGATTAATTTTAAATTTTGCAACAATGTCTTTTACGGAATTCTAATGATGAATCCGTCCTTGTGGAAAGTAGCAATTTCGCACGATTCTATCAAATGACATAAAAAAAACAATAAAAACACTAAAGCACATGTTATTGATGTCATTGTCGTTGATACCGCTAGATTTGTCAAAGTGATTTCAACTTAAATCGCGTGCTTGTGATTTGCATAGATTTAATAAAAATTTGTCTTTCATAAATGGCAATCAGTCTTCTCTAACTCATTATAGAAACAGAGTTTTTAATAAATACTTGCATATGCATGCTTATAAATATTTTATTGTTATCAAATATATTTTCCAAGAACACACATGTCGTTGTCAGACAGCTTGACCCAATATTAATTTAATAAATATAAAATTTGTAACAAAACCATTAAGAAAATAATTATTTCATTTTTAAAAAAATGATAAACTTTACTCGAGCAAAATTTGATAAGATGGGGGAAGTGATTGTAGCGCTATGATTAAATTCTGCTCTTCTAAATATTGTTCAAACACTGTGACTCTATTAATATTAAAATTTATGTTTAAAAGAGGTAGCCACTAACTAAGCTTACTTAGTGTTAATTTAAAATCAATAACATAAATTCAAATTTGAATATGAGTTTGATGTTATGTTATATAATCAACCGTCTTCTTGTTCTAATTTGAACTCATAAAAAAATATATTCAGCATAACCACACATGATAAAAATATGAATTTTGACAACTGTATGAAACAACATTTCATAAATTATCCACAATTTTTAACTACCCAATAGTGTTTTTTTCAAAAACTTAAAAAAATTTAAGTTGAGATAGTTCTCGAAACGAGGGTACAAATAATATTGAAGCTGTTTGACTATTATCTTCCAATATTTGGTAAATTTCAGAATTCACTATCATTCAAACATACAAAAATTAATTCTTATGAAGAAATATTATATATCTAACTAACAATAAGTGACCTAATATTCAGTGTTCTTGTTGAAGTTTTTTAGTTTATTTTTTTCATTGAACTATATCAAGCTTGAAAACTAATAAGTTAAACAGAAATTCCAAACATCATTTTTACGACTAATACTGATCAAAAAAGTCAGTCAGATCGAAACTAATTTGGAAATATCATTTTGCAACTACATGGGTATTTTATATTTATCAACTTCACCGTAGAAACATTTATCGATTTTTAATTTTCCGTAAAATAAATCGACAAATTATAGAAATGGTTTACTTTTGAATGATTCAACTTTAAAAACAACCGAATAGTTAGTATGAGATTTCAATTAGTAGTTCCAGGTTCTATACTGGGCAGAGCAACCTGATGTCGAGCAGTAGTGACATAGGTTTTTACTTGGAAATATAGATAGCAATATGTTGTCAAGTAAAAATAACCCTTTGTCGGCTGCACCAATAAAAAATTCATCATTATTACAGAAATTTAGTTTGTATTGTTCAAATAATAATAAACAAAAACTACCAAATTAGAAGTGTTTGAAGACAAATATTTGTTTGCAAGTCAGGCACTAAAATAAACAACTCCTGCATGTCATCATTCTGAAAGTTGTTATTCACAACTCATATAAATTTATTGTTTTAATCTGAAAATATTGTCCTAAATAATTTATATAAATGCCTGGATTATCATTGTTCCCAACAACAAATACATGTGCCAATATTTCAGCATTGTTATAGCAGAACTATTACTATTTTATAAATTAGATCCAGAGAGAATTCGCTCGTTATTTTCCAGAAGCCTGACTTTAATGACCCGTTTGCGTTGTTATAGGCGAGGCAATCGACTGGATATATATTCCAATAGTTTGATTTCGGATTAATACACGCCACGGACCACGCTTGGTCAATGAGGAAATAATGATCGATATCAAATCATTTTAATCATCCAATATTGTTATTAAATCATATGTATGCTTCTGAAGTTGAATTTGCTCTAGGAAATTATAATTAGTTGCTAGGTGTAGAGAGAAGTCCCCGAGTGGCGGACACGTAAGGTTATTTATAAATAAATCAAAAAATGTTTTACGAAATGTTAATTAAATTATGACTAATGTTAGATAACAAAGGTAGAAATCAAACCAAATTAACAAAAACGTAACCTTTGCTGAAAAATAATTAATACTATCAATCAAACTTTGGTAACAAAAAATATGATTTTAAAAAGTGGCACCTAGTACCGGACAATTCAAATTAACCCGCATTGAACACATATGTAGCCATCTCCACACTCTGGCATGTCTGCACATGTGTGTTTGACGAATATTCTTAGATATTGCAAAAAAAATCACTATTCATCCACCATTGTGGCTGGGCCGCACCGATGCTCTCAGCTAAAGCATTCATCATAAGCGTTTCATTCTTTGACTAGGAAAAACGAAAAATGGGGATAAGTAGTGACCGTTAGCACTCATACGGAACAAAATTAAATAATTAGAATAAATTACGTCAATTCTCACAAGAAATATCAATGTTTACTGTTTGAAATAAGAAGATTTATACTCACTTAAATAATACGTATTAAATAGAGTGTCCGGCGCTAGGTGCCGTCCGCCGTTACGGGACTTACCCTATGTAGAGGCTTGGCTTTATGGAAGGTTGTATGAAGTTACCTATATCGAGTTAGGCAATAACAAGAAGTTTTAAAAAAGTGTTACAAAAATTTCTTTTTATTGTTAACTGCGAAAAAATGGCATGATTGGATTTAATAAAATGTAATCAACGCAATGACGAATCGGTGCTTTTCAAACAAACCTTAAATTTATTCAATATTCGATCAAGATTTTCTAAAAGACGCGGTATTTAATTAGAAAGCGTATTCTTTCTAAATATTTTATTAATATTAATAATTAATAATGATGAAACCAATAAAACTAATTTAAAAATTATTAATTTCAGGTAAATGTGGACGTGTACTACGAGTCTTTGTGCCCTGACAGCAAAAAATTCATCAACACCCAACTTTATCCATCTCTTCAGAACTCACTCAAGAACAGCGTACGCTTGAACTTAATTCCTTATGGAAAATCTACGGTAAGCTCCAATTAATATACAAATAATAAATTTTTAAATAAACTATTTATATCCTTGTAATGCCAATGGTATTTTAAGACATAGCAAAATTTATTTACTATCATGAATAAAAATATATTATGATGTTTCCAGCACCAGACGCGCGGATCAGACGTAGAATTCGAATGTCATCATGGTCCAAATGAATGCTACGGTAACAAAGTACATGCCTGTGCTCTAAACCACATCCAGGTGGATTCTTTCCAACAAAGACACACAAGAGAATCTTTGATCCTCACCTATATCAACTGTCTGATGGAGAATTCTAATCTCAACCCCAGCAACCTCTTCCCAACTCAGATGGTAAGATTGCATTTGAAATTGTAAAATTTATAATTATAAGTTACAAAATCGAACGCAATTGATAACACAGAATTAGAAGGTCGTGGATGTCTTCGTAATCTTTTTATAAATCCGTACTCGGTATTAAAACACGATCAAAAATAAATTAGATCAATTGGATTTTATACAAAGAGACTGTGCTCTTTGAGCAACATAATAAATACAACAAATATTCAATAAAGAATAAAAATATACAAGAATGCAGATGTACGTAATCCTGCAAGCAAAAAAATATTGATTTATCATTTTAATGAGGTGATCGGAGATTTGATGGCAACATTTCTAATGAGCATCAATCCAATAAATAAAGTAAGAATTGATTTATAAAAACATAAAATTTAGCTGCAGCATCATATTGCTACGCGATAGTATTTTTAATGTAAAAGGATTAAAAGTTGAAAAGTAAAAAGCATTCCGTTAAATGAAACTCTGAAGTAATCAACGGCGAACCCGAAAAGCTTCTTTTTTGTTAGGCTGTAGAAATTTTTTAGTAAAATTATTGATTCTCTAAATCTAATTTATAGTAAGTAAACTCCGGGTAACTCAATATAGTATAAAAGAGCATTAAATTAACTATTTTTTTTCTAACTGAGATAAAGAAAAACAACATTTCATTTTAATATATACTTTCGTAATATATAATATATATTATAATATAAACTTTCGTAATCTTTCGTAAATGCGTACTCAGGCTCAAAACACGCTCAAAAATAAATTGCATCTATTGGATCAATTTTATAAAAAGAGCATAATCGTGAGCAACATAATAAATACTACAAATATTCAAGAAAAAATGATAATACGATCGCGGATATATGTATACTAGATATTTTTTTACAAAATGATCGGTTGATCGGTGATTTGATGGCAGCATCTCTAATAAGCATCAATATAATAAATAGAGAAAGAATTGATTTATAAAAACATAAAATTTAGCTGCGACATTATATTGCTACGCGATAGTATACAAATTTTTAATGAAAAAGGAAAATGTATTATTAAAAAGTTAAGAGAGGCAAAAAGCATTCCGTGAAATGAAACTCCGAAGAAATCAATGACGAACCCGAAAAACTTCTTTTTTATTAGGCTGTTGAAATTTTAGTAAAATTATTGATTCTCTAAATCTTATGCACAATAAGTAACTCCGGGTAACTCATTTATAGTATGAAAGAGCTATAGTGATTAATTTTCCCACAAATAATTCAATGACATCGTGCATTAAATTAACTAATTATTTTCAAACTGCTATCAAGAAAAACAACTTTTCATTTTATATTTAAAATGTAGATTAGTGTTATTTGGATGGTAAATATGTAAAATTTCTGTTTAAAAATTTCAATATAAATTTAGAATATATAAATATATTTAAAAAGAACTCAACAACTGGACAAGTAATTTTATAACAAATTAGCAAAAAATGTTAGTTCTTTACCGAGTATGTAGTTATTAATGTGTTCTAATGTATAAAATGATTGATATAAAAAATAGTCATATTATAAAGTAGAGGTTTCTCTTAGCACAATTGACATAAGGACTATCAGATACATTTCGTAATCGTGAAGACCACCAGTTTCAAGACGTTTAGATATAATATATTCCGAACACATGGCATATAATTTCGATATCTCGATCGTATTTGAACTATTTGAATTTTTACAATATAGCAAAGCACGTCGTCCACTTGACGTAATCGAGCCAGGTCTGTTTTTTCAAAGTTGCTAAATGTATTAGTTTTGCGATCATGTCGGTAAACGGATGTCTCGTACGAATGAAGAGAACCACACGACGTCCTCGATATACCGCGAGGCCGGATTATCGCGGGATACATAATTAAATAAAATAAATATTAATATATACATACATATGTTGCATACCTTTTATAAAATGCATTTAACGTATTAGGAATTCAAGTTAAAATCGACAAACAATGGTGATGCAGAACCTGGCTAATGCGAACCACATCCGAACTACTATGCACAGTATAAATTGGTAGAGCATAGTTTGATAGAAGCAATTGCAACTGCGTGACAAAAATGGCACCTTCGATTTTTTCCTTCGGCTTATTTTTAAATCCACTTCAAATTGTACGCTGACTTTAAATTTACCTTCTGTTTTTGAGTTTTAAACTATCCCAATTAGTCATTTCGACTACGATTGTCACAATTTACAAGAACCAAGTGTTCTATCTGCTGTTTTTAGTATGGCTCTGACTCTAAGAGTTGGTTGGTGCATAATCCAGATAAGAAAGTTTTTATACATCTGTGATGAATATGTTTTGACAATACCGAAATCCAATGCCAAAGTGCATAAAAACAGCGTATTTCAAACACTTCGCGATTGCATTAATTCCGCAATCTATGATTAAACATGGCTTTCTTCATACAACGTGCCAAAATTGCGTTGTGTGTTTCTTTTATTATCCGAAAGTAATAAAGAATGCTATAATTTAATACCGTCGTAATTTACAAAAAAAAAACTCAGAATCACCACGACAACTGTTTCTTCTTTGTGG